GCGCCCAGGCCGCGCGGGACAGCAGCCGAGCGTCTCCTGTTCCCCTCTCCCTGCAGGATCTTCGGCTTCCCCCTCCACTACACAGACGTCTCCAACATCGGCCGCGGTGCTCGCCAGAAGGTGCTTGGGAGATCCTGGAGCGTCCCCGTCATCCGGCACCTCTTTTCCCCGCTCAAGGATTACTTCGCCTGTGAATAGCAAGTAGAGCTTGCCTTGTCTCTCTGGTAAAGATGCAGCGCTCCACTGCCTTTGTGGGAGAGGGACGGACAGACAGCCCCAACCTCCCGCAAGCTCCACGACTTCCTCGACACCATCCCTCCCCGGCCACGTGCTGCGGGAAGGAGCGTGGCCCCGCAGGGAGAGCTTAGGAAATGTCTTTAACCAAAGAACCTGGTAGGGTAACTTCTCTTTAAAGGGACTAACGACAGTGATACTTGGAAAATGATGGACAAAAAAGAGCTTTAATTACCCAGCACAGGAAGCTGTATGCGTAATTGATGAGACGAGACATCTTCTCAGAGCATTAAATATTCCATTTTAACGTAGAGCTGTAAAGTTACAACTTGCTGAGCAGCAAGTGTGGAGGCAGCTGCCGGGGTGCTGCAGACAAACTTGAACTATAGAGAAACGATGCTTTTCTTAAAAACAAACAAAACCTCTCTTGAAACAACTGCTAAGAAAAACCAAAACTGTAGCAGCAGGTGTAAAGGAGCCTGGTCAGGTTACATACACTGAACATGCAGGATACAGAAACCAAATTTCTTTTTTTTAAGACTTTTTTGTTAAACTTTGATTTTGTTGTTTAACGTCTGTTGCTGCTTTAAGGCATTACATAAGAATGTGGAGATTCCTAGACCTGAATGTAGCTGAAACTGAACTGTGAGGTGATAGAATTACTCTTCTAGTTAGAACTAAAGAAATGTTTTATGTTTGGCTGTAGTTTACAAATACTCACTACTTCCTTTCTAAAGCATTTAAAGTTTTCCCTTACTTTTAAAAATCCTGCTGAGTGATTTGAAAGGTTAAACAGTAATCCAAGAGCATGGAGGATTTGGGTTCTGGTGTCCATAAAGGAAAAAGTTCTCCTAGCATTCATTTCCAAAATGAATGTGCTGCATCAGCAGG